AAGCTGGACCCATCGCAGAACCAACATGCTGTTATTTGGGCAGCAGTAATAGCAGCTCCTTCTGACAACATCCATATCATGAATAACCGATCTCCCCAGCCTGTAAGCAAGGGAGTGGAGGCTTGCCAGTGAGGGGTCACTATATCTTCAAGCATGACTCCTTCTTATCCAATCCCTTCATGCCTCTCATGTACTACATACTGCTTAAACAATCCTCCCTTCCTCAACAGGTAGTAGTAACGTTTACCACACACAGTAAGGAAGTACCGTGCTAACGGTTAACTGTCCTTGTTGTCCATTAATTACCAACTTGAGGTTCCATCATACAATGGAGTATACCTACCTATTGAGGGGGGGGCATTCTATCATTATTGGTTCTGCTGGACTGGATATAAATACTGAATGACACTCCCTACATGGGATAGAACCCTTATAAATAAAAGCCGAATGGTGGTGGCACTTCTCTCTCTTTTTATAATTTTATTAAAAGATAAGACAAGTGTACATAAACAAGATTGCTGTTTAAACATTAATACAAACTGTAAGTGCAGATACATATATCGCAATGTCATCTATTAATTAGTCAGCAGGATCCTCCTATGACCCTGTCCTTGTCACTTTCTTGTGATTTTCCAATTTTTCTACTATTATTATTATTATAACGTATAATAAATCCAGATATATTTCAGAAGGACCTCAATAGTATTTTATGAGAGTGCTCAGACCATAAAAAATCCTCATAAATGTATCCATTCGTGGATCCAAAAGTGATTTCTTCCACTGTTGGTGGACCTACACAGAGATTAAAAACTTCTGGTCCCAAGTGTGGCACTTCTGTAGAACATTCCACATGCTCCGGAATTGGTTGGCGCCCTGGTGTGTCACTCACAGGGCGTCTCTCTCCATTCGCTGTGCTGCTGCCTGTGTGGGTGTCCTCCCGCCCACGGAGGCAGCGGCCACCATTTTGCTCTCAGGGTTTGGGTACTGGAAAGAATGTACCAGCCTTTTGGAAACCAACAAAATACCCAAAGAAAGTGTACTGAAGTGTTTGGGGAAAACACTGGAACAAAAGCCTCTCAATATAAAGATTTTAGTCACTGTGAAAAACTTAGGAAACTCCCATTAGACTGAAACATAAGAACTAAAATCTGTGCATGTACTGATTTTACCTCAGAAATGTCAACTCCTGATTTCATCTGACTTTTCCCTTCTATGCTAAATAAAATATTTTGTTACTTTTAAATTTCAAAATGCCTCGAGTGCCATTTAAGTTGTTTAAGTTAAAAGCAGGCTCCTTATCCTTCCCTCTGGTTCCTGGGCTGAGCCAACAACCAAAATATCATACTGTGGCAGGGAGGGACAGCTAGAGTTCTTCAGCAAAGAGAACACATTACTAGGGTGGCTCAGTCAGTAAAGGGAAAGAAAAATTGAGTGAAAATCTTGCCCCTGAGGGAGGAAAGAGGAAGGGGGGGACATCATAGGAGGCTATCGTTCTTTGGTCACATTATGGGAAGACAGGAGTCACTGGAAAAGACAATGATGCTAGGAAAAGTTGAAGGCAGCAGGAAAAGAGGAAGAACCAACATAAGATGGGTTGGCTCAATCAAGGAAGCCCCAGCCATTAGTTTGCAAGACCTGAGCAAGGCTGTTAGTAATAGAATATTCTGGAGGTCATCAACTCATAGGATCACTGTAAGTTAGAAGCAATTTGACACACGCACACACAGAACTCCTATTTGCAGTCTAGAAATATCACTCATAATTTGCTAGCTGTAGCACCATTGATGTTTCCCTGATAAATTCGGGGAGAGAAGGGGCTTATTTCTTTTCCTACCAATATATGAGGATGTCTGCAAAGAGGATTCAGTTTGAGGAGCCGGGCATAGTAACATGAAGTCTGTGAGACAGCTGAATTGTTTTTAAAATCCACAATGAGAAATACGACATAATTTTACCATGCATGCACATACAATCACATCTCCTTTGCACAGCACAGTCTAATTCTGTGGACTAAGGCCTAGAATCTTATTAATATGTTTTAATACAATTCTCTTTGATAAAATCTCTTTTCATATAGCTAAAGAAAACAGGAAACTGAACTTTTACCACTCACACAGTTAAGACAGGTACACAAATTCCATATGCTAGGCTCCATTTACGTGTACATCAGATGTTTTGTTATTATTCATTTACTATGTAAATATTAATCATTATATACAAAAATAAAAAGTGGTTTTAAGCCCCTCTCTAAACATTATAGGTATTTCTTTATGCAATGAACAAAGATAAAAAATCTACAGCTATAATTCCTGAGAAATATAAACATAGCAAAAATGTAATTTCAGTTCTGCCCATTCATTTCCAGAATCAAAGAAAAGAAAATTGCCTTAAAATTTTTAGAAAAGAGATGAAACGTAAGAGTTATAGATTTAAGAAATACTTTAAAGGTCTATGAAAAACAATAAAGAAGCATTTCTACAATATAATTTAGGCTCTTGATATTTTTATGTCTCCATGACAGGGAATAGGACTGCAATTGTTGCTGGATTCCTAGAATGCAATTAAGAGAATAAATGTTTGAGAGCTATATACGAACACCAAACATGCAGTCATTTATTTGGAATGTTTAGTGGGAGACTCTGGAGACCCCTGGAAGCCACTAGAGGGAGAGAGCTGCCCTTGAGCTCCAGTCTGTCAGGACTGCCAGCTCATAAACCCATATGGTTCTGGCAGTGGAAAGGGAAGGAAATTCAGGAGTGCTTCTTTCCCCAGCCAGTGGGTATAACAGTTACAGCTGGCTATGAAGGCCAATTTAAATATTAGGGGCTATTCTTGGGGCTACTGAAAAAGTACCATTGTGCACTGAGGGCTCCTGCTGCATTTATCAGCTTGATGACATCCAGCTTCTCCATGGCAGTTCCACTTTACTCCTGAAATGGGCAATGATTGCTGAGGACCAGTGCATAGTTAGGTAGATGTGCACAGTAGGGGGCTTTCAAAATATTATGCCCACTGTAGCCTCTCTGCTAGGCCTATGCTGTTTAATGACACACTAAAAATGACAGATTCCAGAACCCAATTATGGCTTCTGGTTATGGATACTAGCAGGGGTCATTTCGTAGAAAAAGAGCTAGGGGAACTCATTAGCATAACATTAGCATATGCCACACCCCCTGACATCAGGGGCACGGCGGTGGACCTGCAAGGCCGGTGGGAGTGCAAGGAAGCCCCGCGAAGGCCCTCCCTGGCCCCAGGCAGGCAGGGGTGGGGAGAGGAGGAAGCAACTTACCCTCCCTCTTCTCCTGCCTCCTCCTGGCTGAATGAGGGCTGGAAGCAGGGCGGCCGGAAGCAGGGGGTGGGGCTTCGTCATGTGCCCCGCCCCCGTACCTCACCCGGGGGAACTACGATCCCCCGCGTTCCCCCCCGAAATGACCTCTGGATACTAGTGAGGGAAGTACTGGGAAAAGACTGAGGATATTGTGGAAAATGGACCATTAAATATTATGGGATAGCACTGTATGCCTCCATAGAAGAAGCACAGTGAGGAGGAGGAGGAGAAAATTTAATGGGACAGAGACTGAGGCATGGCTCCTGCTTAATATATAAACATATGCAGAACACCAACATAGTGTGATGATTACGGTGTCAAACTAGGATCTGGGAGACCCAGGTTCAATATCTACCCTGCTGTGATGATGGTCTCTCAGCTTAACCTACCTCACATGGTAATTGTGAAGATAAAATGGATGAGTACAGAACAAATGTACACCACTTTAAGCTCCTTGGAGAAAGAACATGATAAAAATGTATTAAACAAACAAAATAGCAATGAAAATGCATGAATAACCCAGGGATGATATTCTAAAGCCAAGCTAGGTAAGGGTCAAAATAGGTGAGATGCTAGATATATAACTGAAGCCTCTCAGCCTTTCTTAAAATGCTAACAGAAGCTATGTGAAGGCATAATACGGACTGGGGCAATAATGGAGTGGGGTGGGGGGAAGGGTATGTAACTCTTTCTCTCCTGCCATGTAGTTTCACCGACTGGAAGAAACCCCCCCCCCACTGTTGTGGGAAAAGAAAAGCTAATAACATCAGGGGGGATTTTTTCCCCTTCCTATCCTGAACAGCCACAATCTGAACTGGCATGAATGATGTTAAATCTCGTATGGTCCTTTTTTGGAAAAGATTATGAGCTCAGTTTTGGTTCAAAAGCGAACCCAGCTTGAGAACCATGAGGGGAGTCTCTGAAAGTGGAGAACCATGAGGAGAGTCTCTGAAAATGACATTCCTTAACATTAACACTGAAGATCTCCTGATACTGCTATAAATATCCGACTAAAAACTGAAAAAGTGTTTGGGGTCAACCAACAGCAAAACAGTGATTCCAGACCCCTCCCCCAAATAAAATCTGCATCAATCTAGAATTAAGAGGATAAAAATATAACAAATGACCAAAGAGCAACTGGAATCACACATTTTAAGAACAATTTTGGTGTTTAAAAAACTGCTCTGAAAAACAGCCAAAGCAAAAGTGTTTGCATTGCAAAGCTATGTTGCTGCCCCTGGAGCTGTTGTTGCTGGAGAGCAGCACCGTCAAGAGAGTCATTCTGAAAGACAAAATCCCTGGCTGTTATCTGCTGCTGTGGTATCTTCTTTCACAAATCACATTAATCTGAGTCACAGTAGTCTCACTGGGCAACTTCATAGTGGTACTGGCGCAACCTGAGCTCCACTTCAGAAAATCCTGGCCGATCATCAGCACTGCAAAAGAAACACAAATATTTTTATTGGGTCTTTCTGCTCTTGCCCCATTTAAGGTCTGGTTCCTTGCTAGTATCAGCTGAGGCAGTTTCCACTTTTTACTGATTACATTTTTGACTCCAGCATTTACTGCCTAGTATTTTCAGGGCTTCTTATTCATTTACTATGCACTGATGAGTGTCTTATGATTCACTTCAACCTTTCCAATAGCAGAAGTAACTGCTGGGCAAAAGCTATACAGTGGGAATGACATGTTTTGGAGACACTGGAAATGGATTCTGCCTGAAGTCTGCTGTTTTATTTAAAGCAGAAGGGGAAGGGAGGGAAAAACCTCATCAGCAGCATCAATGACATCTAGGAATCCCTCGATGGCAGACAACATACAAATCCAACTATGAGTCTTAAACCAATTGCCAATATGGAAACAGCTACTCGCACCCCTCCATACCCACCCTCAGCAAGGAGGAAAACAGGAGAGAAGTTGGGCAGTTGAAGTAAGATAATAATGCCCACACCACAAAGGAAACTTAAACAAGAACGTCTCCCAGGAGCTTAACTCCATTTGGAGTTTGGTAGGCACTCCTTTGGGATGGAGTATTTCTCCTTAAGGTAACCTTCTAAGTAGTTTATACAATCTCTCCACAGATGTTGAGCATATCTTGACAAAAGGGTGCATCTGAACTAGGAACCCATGTTCCAGGTACCCAGTATAAGTTAATGTTTGGCTGCAATCACACTGGTAAACATTTGGTGAAGGTATAGGAAGAATTCCAAGGCAAGTTTTTCTTTGAAAGAATGGGTCCTGTTTATGATACACTCAATACTGTTTAATATTTGGCCTGATTTAGACATTCCCTACAAAAAAATTAATTGCAACACTATTGTTGGTAGCTAAAAAAGTAATCGCCTCTCATTGGAAGGTCTCCAAGCTACCTGGGTTAAAGGAATGGTATATCTGTGGGACTATATAATTTTTGATAAAATAGAGGATGTTAAGAGGGCAAATGAGTATCCTATGTTTGAGTCAAACTTCCTGAATAAGCGGCACCCAGTATTGGAGAAACTTCTAAAGAATGTAAATTCCCCATATTCCTTTAGCAATCATCGCTATTTTAAATTTATTTTGTTAATGTAACAATTAAGTTCTGTATAAGGTAATATTGAGGTCTGTCTTGTATAGGTATCTCAGTTCTGTTGTTGATTATGTTTTGTGGATGTTCTGTTATTGGTTGATGTTTTGTTACTGACTGATGTTATCTTTGAATATTTTTCTTAATAACTTTAAAAAAGGGGGGAGGGAGAAAGAACAGGTCCTGTTCATCAGGTATGCTAGCAGTGTGGAGAATAGTGCTGAATTTTCCATCAAAATTGCTTTTGAATTTTAAATTTTAAAATTAGAATTGATTCTCAAAGGGCTTTGTGGTCTAGTGTTCTGCTTAATAGGCATAAAGCTTCATAGTTTTGTGGAAATGCTGAATTGTTTATGACCAACTACTGCTTAGTGGTGAACACTGGCTATTGAACTGTGGAAAACTTGATCCCACTCTTCTATATCCCATTTTGGTACTATCAGAGCATTAATCACAAAAATTATTGTTGTGTGAAGGAACTGATCGATCCTTTATTCAACGTTTATCCTGCCTTTTGGGTTGAGAAGAGGTCACACGGCAATTTGCACACAATCATAATATAAGGTTAAAAACAAAGAGACTGGGAAGAGAAAAATAATGGCAGAACCATGGTTGTAATCTAACAAACCAATGTTTTTATCAGGAGATACATGATTATACTCACTTATATGTCCAGCACAATTTCATTAAGTCATAGACCTCAATTGGGCAAGCTGGTGGATGTTCCATTCGCTCTCCTCTTTCAATCATCTGAGAAACCTCCCCTCCTTTCATGCCCTGTGACAGATGCATTTATTACAGGCACAGGTGTTGGAATGATATTTTTCATTCTCAGCAGCAATAAAAACATCACACTTTCTGGTTAATTTTGCCCCAGAGAGTAACTATAATCAACAATTTTAGATTACTCTCTTTGCCAATTAATAAGAACATAAGAGACGCCAATGTTGGATCAGGCCAAAGGCCATCCAGTTCAACACTCTGTCACACAGTGGCCAAAAATACCAGGTGCCATCAGGAGGTCCACCAGTGGGGCCAGGACATTAGAAGCCCTCCCACTGTTGACCCCCCCAAGTACCAAGAAGACAGAGCATCACTTGCCCCAGAGCCCCTATCTATACCTTGTGGCTAATAGCCACTGATGGACCTCTGCTCCATATGCTTATCTCCCTTTTGAAGCCGTCCATGCTTGTAGCCGCCACCACTTCCTGTGGCAGTAAATTCCACGTCTTAATCACTCTTTGGGTGAAGAAGTACTTCCTTTTATCCGTTCTAACCCGACCGCTTAGCAATTTCATTGAGTGCCCACAAGTTCTTGTATTGTGAGAAAGGGAGAAAAGTACCTCTTTCTCTACCTGCTCTATCCCATGCATAATCTTATAAACCTCAATCATGTCACCCCTCCATCGTCGTTTCTCCAAGCTAAAGAGCCCTAAGCGCTTTAACCTTTCCTCATAGGGAAAGTGTTCCAACCCTTTTATCATTCGAGTTTCCCTTTTCTGCACTTTTTCCAAAGCTATAATATCCTTTTTAAGGTGTGGTGACCAGAACTGCACACAGTATTCCAAATGAGGTCTCACCATTGATTTATATAGGGGCATTATGATATTGGCTGATCTGTTTTCAATACCCTTCCTAATAATCATAGCATTGGCCTTTTTTATTGCAGTCACACACTGTCTCGACAATTTCAGTGAGTTATCTACTACAACTCCAAGATCTCTCTCTTGGTAAGTCTCTGCCAGTTCGGACCCCATCAATGTGTATTTATATTTAGGATTTTTGGCTCCAATGTGCATCACCTTGCACTTGGCCACATTGATCTCTTGCCAAACTACATTATACATGCATTTCTAAAAGCACGTTCCTGGGACTTACTTCTGAGTAGACCTGCTTATGAGCGCTCCCATTATTTTCCAGTTTTAAGTATGTGCTTTGGAATTATGAAGGGAAATTTAATGAAGATACCCACCTTGTATGGCTTTTGCCCATAGGAAAAAGCTTCCCACATTAACACACCAAAGCTCCAAACATCACTCTTGCTAGAAAATTTGAAGAAATTCATACATTCTGGAGCATACCACTTGACAGGCCATTTCCCATAATGTTCTGCCTATGATGATCCAAAAACAAAAGATGACTATATTACTCATATAAAATAAGTACATTTGTAATGTATTTGAGGCTTTTAAAGTCGACTGTCTCCTGAAGGCCTAAGGAAACAGTCCATGCACCTACTAGATGATGCTGTTAATAGATGGGATAACGATGGGTGGGCCCAATTTTCACAGTACAGCATCATGCTATGAGTTGATCTCATCAATTAGGGCCAGGATGTAAGAGTCAACTGAATTGTTAGATGAAACTTAGTATATAGATCCTTTTCAATATAGATTCAGGAAACTGCTTTGGTTACCCTATTAGATGATCTATGCCTGTCAAGAGAAAGGGAGAGTATGTTTGTCTTTGTCCTCCTAGAACTCCCATCAATCTTTGATACCATCCCTGATGTTAGGTTCGATCTGGGAGGCTCAGAATTGTATTGTTTTTGTTTTTTTCTGGCATGCAAGTACCAGTAGGTGCTCTTCGGGCACTTCTGCTCTGTCACATGGCCATTATTTATTTTAAAAGTTTATATGCCACCTTTCTGATCTGTTGGGTTCTCAGTCAGGGCTGCAGCACTGAGGAAGGGGGATTATATATCCTGTCTTCCTCCCAAATAACAGGAACCCAGGCAAGACACAGAACTAATAAGCTTTTTATAACTGAAAAAAGTACAACAGTATCACATAATTTTAACAGCCAGCAGATAAACAACCAACTAACCCAACAAACACCCCAAAGGTTCAACAAACTGCTAAAACCATAAAAGAGTTCCAACCACCACCACCTGCAACCCTAATGGAACTGCAATAAAGGAGCAGTAACAACAAATCATGACATTGTGATGAGAAAGTTGAGTCCAAATGTGAAATTTTACCTTATAATAATGTGAAATTTTACCTTATAATAATCATTAGAGCCAAGAGCTTTTGAAAGTCCAAAGTCACTGATTTTGGCATAATGTTGTGTAACCAGTAGCACATTCCTTGCAGCCAAATCTCTGTGCACAAAGTTGTTTTCTTCCAAGTATTTCATCCCCATGGAAACTTGATGAACCAGTTCGGTTATATTCTTTTCTGTAACATCTCTACAAAAAAATTATAACTTGTTAACAAGCTCTAGTATATTTTCTTTACACACTATGTTTTTTCATAATGTCTCCAGTAACAGTGGTAACCCAGGAGGTGACTGCCAGTTTTGGACACTGCTTGGTTTTGTTCTCTGCCTTTCCCTTACTTCACATGAAAGTATCTGTCAAGTTTAACAGCCCCACATCATCACAGAGCATACATGCTTGCACGCTTTAATGTTCTGCCATCAGAGGTGCTTTTAGGGAGGTACTGCCAGATACCATATGTAGACAGACTTTGTCCTTGCTCTCTAAAAGATATAGAATCCACTACACACACCATACTTCAATGCCCCCTCTATATGGATAGCTGATCTCGTTTTATTACTCCATTTCTAGAGGATAAGAGCTGGCACTCTGATCACTCAATTGTTCACTTTCTTCTGTTTAATTCTAATTGCGAAATAATGGAGGCTAGTGCAAAATTTTTATATTATGCAATCAGAAGACGAGGCTTGAATAGCCAAGTGTAAGTGACTGATGCATCTTAGTATTTTCCCGTATTTCCATGATGTTTTGTGCTTTCATGCCAATAAAGGTTTTGTGTGTGTGTGTGTGTGTGTGTGTGTGTGTACTTCACATGAAGATGTTTGGGCTGTGCTGGACTACCACAGGGAAGGGCAACCAGGTGGCTTGGCACAGCCAAGCAGTGTACTGGAGTGGAGAAGGGAGGAGCTAAGCCCAGCAGTTGGATTCTCTTCCTGGTACCCAGCAGGAGGTGGAGTATGGGCCTACAGGTCCTTCAGACCTCAGATATGAAGGGGAGGGAGTTGTCCTCAGCCCAATCATCCTTCTCCTGCTAGGGTGCTTCCTTTTTGTCTTTTCCAACTCTTTCTCTATGCCAATTCTGATGATGATGACAACAGCAACCTCCCCCCCACCCAAATCTCTTCCTTGGACTGAGGCTCAGAGGGTTTAAATAGGCATTCACATCTTTTACATGCTCTACCCCCTATTGCTTGGGCCAATCAACCATTAAAGGCTTCTACCTCCTCCCTCCAGCTGGGACCCAAATCCATCATCCCTTCCAGGCCAAACAGCTCTGTGGCAGGGTCTCTGCCCTTTGGGTGGGTTGGGCTCTTGTTGTGCCTCATCTGAACATTCATGCTGGTCAGCTGGGCTGCAGAGGCTTGATTGACATAGCTGTACTTTCTAGTTTGTTGTGTACCAACAAGGACTCCACATGCACTCGGCCACGCATGTGGCCGGGCGAACAAGTGCAGCTTAAAGATTAAAAACAATAGTGGGTGAGGATCCTAGAGCGAGCCTATTGGTTACTCAGGATTCTACGCCTGACCTATGGGTATGGACACTATGTAAATAACCTACCACAGGGAGTGGGATGTGTGTTGGGTGTGGTGTGCCTCACGAATTTAAGCAGGCTCCGGTCCTACTTGTCTCTGTCTTGAGTTGAGTGTCTAATAAACTATAAGCTGAAATCACTGCTACACATCTGAACCCAGTACTTTACACTGGCGATGAGGATGGAATCCCAATGAATGAGCCTGACCTAGCAACTGAACTGGCCCAGCAGAATGAGTCCCCGGAATCCTCGACCAGCACCGCACCGCGCACCGAGCCCCAGCTTTCCGTGCCTCACATTGCTCCTCCTTGGGTCATGGCTGCTGCTCCAGGACAGATCACTGTGTTCAACCCTGCACACCCTGAGCTCTGGGAAGCTTGGGTCGAACAACCCAAGTACTACATCCACTTCCAGGATGTTGCGTAGGCAGCAAAGAAGAAATCCCTACTGCTCAGCACGTGTGGCATCTCCACAATCCAGCTGGTCCAGGACCTCATCACACCGAAAACGCTGGAAGAATCGACACACGACCAACTCATCAAGGCCCTCACTGACCATTTTGTGCCAAAACTGACCAAAATGGTGATGCGCACATGGACCTCTTCACGAGGATGTAGCAGGCCAGGGAAGCGTACACCGACTTCATGGCCCATCTCCGCAGACTGGCCATCAAGTGCAGTTTCCCTGACATCGAGGATGCCCTGCTCAACCAATTCGTATGGGGCGTCTGCGAACAGAAACTATGGAGAAAACTCATCGGCCAAGACGAGTTGACCACAGAGAAAGCCTTCCATGTGGCCACCGCATTCGCCAAGGCCCAACTTGATAGGACAGGCCACAACGAGCATCAGGCCTCCATGTTCAAGGCCTCCAACGAGTCAGAAGAGGAGGAGGTCCTCCAGATCCGGCATTCTGAGTGCAAAGGAACATGCCCAGTGACAAATGCACAAGCACCAAACCGGAATGGCTGCCAAGCAGCCTGCACCAGCTGAGGTGAGAACCACGACTGGTGTTCCTGTTGCTTTCGAGATGTGATCTACAGAAACTGCAACAAAGCCGGCCATATCGCCCGGGCCTGCCGTTCCAGAGGAAGCCACTGCCAACAATCATCACACCAGGAATCCACTGAACTTCACATGATGAAAGTGCACCACCACCAGGTACTGTACTTTCCCCGGGATACCCCCGATAAGATTAAAGTGCATGTATTGATAGAAGGGGTCCCCTGCGAAATGGAGCTGGACACTGGATCATTCATTTCCATCATCTCAGCGGAAATGCTCAAGGGACTCTGTCCGGGGGGGGGGGAGTGGTAACACCCTGTAGACTTTATCCTCCGGGACTTTCAGAAAAACCAAGTAGAAGTTCGGGGGTCAGGCAAGTTCAGGGTGCAATATCAGGATTTTGACGGACTGTTGGACCTGGTGGTGGTCGAGGAACAGCTCACTAGCCTACTAGGACTATCTTGGTTTGCAGCACTGGGGTTTAAAGTGACGGGCGTGCACCATGTACACCTAATGGACTTTAACCGGGTCTGCGAGGAGTTCCCATCCATGATTGATGGCACACTCAGTCACTACATGGGTCCCCTGGTTTCACTGGACTTGGACCCAACAGTCCGGCCCATCCACATGAAAGCAAGATGGGACCCCATCGCATTGTGACCAAAAAATGATGCTGACTTAGATCGCCTAGCAGCCCAGGGGGTCCTGGAACTGGTGCCGCACGCCCCTGGGAAACCCCAATAGTCACACTGGTGAAACCAAATGGGGACGTCAGGATATGCACTGATTATAAATGTATTCTCAATGAAGCGCTCCAGGACCATGCATACCCTGTCCCTCTGGTCAGCCACATATTAGCATCCCTAGCGGGGGCCAAGGTGAAAAGTTGTATTTGGCCCAGTGGATGAGGCCTCAGCCGAGGCACAAACAATAGTCACATACAGGGGGGCGTTCAGGGTGTGGAGGCTGCAGTTTGGGGTTTGTGTGGCCCCCGGCATCTTCCAAAATTTAATGGACTGTCTCCTTAAAGGCATCCCGGGGGTCCAGCCATTCTTTGACAATATTCTGATCGCGGCATTGTCATCAGAAGCATTCACCGACTGACTGCACGAAGTCCTGCACCGTTTCAACATTGCTGGGCTCAAGGTGAAGTGGGAGAAGTGTCTCCTTGGGGTGCCAAGGGTGGAGTTCCTGGGGTTTGCAGTGGATGCCCAGGGCATCCATTCCACGTTGGAAAAGTTTCACGCCATTGTCAATGCACCTACCCCCTCATCCAAAGTGGAACTCCAGGCCTTCCTGAGACTTCTAAATTTTTACCATTCCTTTCTGCCCCACAAAGCCACGGTTGCTTTGCCTGCCTCCTGGTTGCCCCTGCACCGCCTCCTGGACAAAAATGCTCCTTGGGTGTGCCAAGAGACATGCTGCTGCCTTCCGGGTGGTCAAGGACTTGCTGGTTTCCAAAGATGTCTTGGCCCATTTTGACGAATCCCTGCCGGTCGTGCTTGCTTGTGATGCTTCACCATACGGGGTTGGGGCAGTCCTGGGCCATCAACTGCTGGATGGCCACGAGGTTCCCATAGCTTACTATTCCAGGACTTTATCTTCGGCTGAGTACAACTAAGCGCAAATTGATAATGAGGCTCTGGCAATCATGGCAGGCATGAAGAAGTTCCACGATTACCTATACGGCTGGCCCTTCACTGTTGTCATGGACCACAAGCCCCTCTTGCGTCTTCTCGCCCTGGACTGCCAAACCCGCAAATGCTCTCGCCGCGTGTGCTCTGCTGGTCCATCTTTCTGGCCGGCTACCAGTATGCGCTTGTCCACCGCCCTGGTAAAGCGATGGGCCATGCCAACGCACTCAGCCATCTTTCCTTGCCTTCCTGCAACCTGGACCCGGCTCCAGCTCACAGGTCCTCCTGCTCGAGGACTTGCCGGACCATCCAGGTTGCCATTCTTTAAGCTTTTGTAGCCTCTGCCATCTGGAATCAGAAAAAAATTAGGCCTCACAAACAGGGAAGGGAGATGAAGGCGATTCTGCCCCTCCTTGAGTCTAATAAAAAATGGGGGACTTCTTTCCATCAATTGATTCTGAGTTATCACAAACTTTTCAAATCCCCACATTGAACTGTTTTTCACCATTGGTAGGAATCTCGGATACTTGAAGAATTATTTACTGATATTCCCTCTGGAGTGGCAACTAACAACTCAGATAAACCAACTGAAGATGCAACGTATGGGCCTCCTAGTGAGCCAGGTAATGTGGTAACTGAAACCTCACTGGATTTACTCTTTCTAGTTGCTGACTCAATGAACTTCATTTGCAGAAGTCTCCGATCTTTACATAGGGTATTACAAGAGTACTATCAAGCTTATGTGGTGGTAAGGAAAACTCCAGTGCAATGGATTCACTAAAGCTGGCCCCAACTGACAAACCTTTAGCCACCCTGTCAGCTGGCTCATGACAAACTACTTTTGACATCCAACAAACTGCAGCAGCGCCAAGATCCAGCAGATTACCAAAACACCAACTTAGATGAGACCTAAATGATTCTTGGCAGCTGATTTGGCAGCTGCAGCAAGTTTGTTTGATTTTTTGCAAATATAAAGGGGCTACTCCTTCCTGGAAGACTGATCTTCCCCAAAACTTCAGCGCAAAACACATTTGAGAAAGAATGGAGAAAAGCCAGGGAAACCCACAGAGGTGTACAAATACACCACAATGCTGAAATAAAACAAGAGAAAAAACTTCCCAAAAGCATTGACCTCAGAGCAGATAACCCACGTGGAAGACTTCATACAGTTTTCTACATAGAAAGGATGTTTATGTAGGTAATACAGTTGTAAATTACTGAACACAAGAAGATGGGTCCCTGGCAAGGTTGAAGACTTGGGGTGGGCAATCAGGTTGCAAAAATGAACAGTGTCCAAAGACAGGTCTTAAAAGTCAAGTACCTAACTGTGTGCCCCTTTCCAAATAACCCAACCTTCCTCCATGTACTCTGATAGCACATTTAAGTTTCATGAAGAGGAATAACTTCAGAAGTGTTACTGAATTTTATAGAATAGAATGTTTTGTATAAGAAAGGTTCTCTTAAAGCAAGCTGAGCAACAAAATTTGAGAAAACATCAATTTATTAAGTGCTTATTTCTTTATTTGTTTGTTTGCTGGACTTTTACCTCGCCCTCCCGCCAAGGTGGCTCAGGGTGGCTTACAGTACTTAAAAACCAGTATACAGTTAATACCAATTATCACGTCTAAAACCATACAATACAATATCATAAATACAGCTTATTAAAATTAGAATGTGGTGGCCATCTGTTATAAAGTGCTAGTGCTTGTGTGGAATGGTCAGTGTGGCCAGAACTATTAAAACGCTTGTCGGAACAGTACAATAGATGTTTCATATATCACCCACGTTACTTACCTGTAGAGTTCATTTAGAATATTAATCTACATAATATATATTTTGTTTATTAAAGTTGAAAAATTTAAGGAAAGATAATGAAGGTCAACTTACCGGTGTTTTATCAAATATTTATTCAAGGGGCCAAGTTCAGCCATTTCCATTACCAGCATCCAAGACTCAGCTTCACATATACCTATCATCCGAACTATATATGGGTTATCCAGTTGCTGCATTACATTTGCTTCTCTTAGAAGTTCATCCTTTAAGGCTGGATCATTACCTTCATTCTTAAGAATTTTCACAGCCACTGTCTTCTTACCCCTGCAAATAATTTCCAGGAATTGTAATTACAAGTGGAGACCCACAACAAAATGTTATTAATGTATTTTGCATAGTATAGTTAATTACTGTTTAAATGGCTTTCTTACAGCAATCGATTTATCAGCTTTTTGGATATTCTTGTGAGGTAATTTTTGCATTGTATTGTTCTGTATGGTACTGATGAGGGATTGTTGCTTTTGACAAAAAAGGCAGAGATTCTTTTAATTGTTCTGAGTGTTGTCCTCTTAAGGGAGCCCACTTTTCCCTTTTGTTTCCCTCCTTTTCTTTATTGAACACTGGAATGAGAGCCATCTAGCTTTGCTCAGTTCCCTTGTGCATAGTCAGCTAGCTGACTGAAGATGGCTTCAAAGAGGAGTTTGCCTGGGAATTACAATCACTTCATTTATGTGAGGTGAGATTTCAAAGATTACCTTACTGGGCATTGCAGGTCTTGAGGTGCTACAGGTGTCCTGGACCACTATTCTTCTGAGTGCCCTTGCCAAAAGCAGCTATTTAAATGGCCATTGGTTTATCAATGGATCAGCCTGAGGCACCTTTGCTTATTCAGACTCTCACCTTGCTGTGGAGAATTATGTGGTCACAAGGCACCAGTCTTCTTCAGCATGAGAATAGTCCACATTGACCCACAGCACCATAGCTAACTTTGACAGTTTATTTGTCTGTAAGGGTTGCTAAGGAATGTTTTAAAAGGTGATATGTACAAACTGACACTGTTTGGAGGAAATTCCGCCTCCTCTCCACCTGCCCCCTACCTCTAAGTCACTGTGCCCACCCATCCATTAATGACACCTCAGCTGTCCTTTTGTAACTTTCCTCTGGCTTCTAGTCAGTCAGGAGAGAAGCAGGGGGAAGAAGCATTGCCCAAGCTGGTGGGAGTGGAGAGGCAGTTAGAAGCCAGAGATAATGGTTTTAAAGGACAGCTGAGACCGCAGCTACAGAGATTGGGGTGCGAACAATCCTTCTCTCCTGCTTGCAAGGCTTTCCAGCTGCAGGCGCAGATGTCCTTTTAAAACTTCTCGCTGCTATTTAGCCATTCATACTGCAGGCAAAACAGCATTGGAGATGGGTGAGTGGCAGCAAGGACTCCTCCCCAATCCCAGCTCCAGTTCTGCTGTTGCTTCCTCCCCTCTTCCCCCACCCATTATCTCTGTCTCTCTCACTGTGTCTCTCTCTCACTCTCAGCCAGTCAGTCTTTCTTGAGTTGGTGGAAGGGGAGAAGCCTCCCCTCCGAGAAAGTTTTAAGAGGACAGTGGAGCCCATAGCAAAAGAGGTAGGGGTGAGAAGTTCAGATGTCCTTTTAAAATGTCCCCCTGCTATTTAGTCATTCATACTGCAGGAGGAATCCTCCCCAATCCCAGCTCCAGTTCTACTTTTGCTTCCTCCCCTCCCCCCCTATCACTAATCTATCCCTCACTGTCAATGCAGTTGGGCCTGGAGTAGGTCCCTAAGGTGGCCATTTCAAAAGACAGGCTACACTTCCTAGAGCTAATCTTAGGTACCGTACCACACTTACTGTACTCTTCCATAAGAGAAAAGGGGGGGAAATACAGGGAATATTCCCCCCCCAACTGCATAGAACATCAAGAAGGCACAAATTCGGAACAAGAAAGTATGCTACTTCCTTTCCTTGCCAAAAGTTTCATAATCCTTTTTTAAATCATTTTTTATTTCCTGTAGGTGGTTGCCACGGCAGCTGCCTGGGTCTTCTGGACAGAGACTCTGGTGGTGTGGGTCTTGGCCAGATGGTCAGTGAACTCCTGGTAAGGAGACTTGGTGAACACAGTCTCCTTCCAAAAGTAAGGTGTCGGGTAACTGCAGGTCTTGGAGATGGCATCAAAGGTGGCGTTAGCAAAGTTGCCCAGGGTGGCAGTGCAGCCCCTGGCAGAGGTCATCAATCCCGGCCATTATCAGCAGTTTCTTGGGAACCGGGGCAGATCAGCAGTTTCTTGGGAACCAGGGCAGACACAATTCCAGTACCATGTGGCGCAGGGATGAGGTGCACCAGGGCAGACCCACACTGTCCTGTCACCTTGCATGGTATAGTATGGGGCTTGCCGATCTTGTTACCCCAATAGCCCTCACCAGCACAATGGACAGTTTAGCCAAGTTTCATAATCCTTTACGTATGCAATAGATCTCTCTTCTATGTTCTGCACCAAGATCGTTATCCCAAAACCATGGTAATGAAAGCAAGTCTGATAGTATACAAAAACAGACAAACAAAGAAGAAAACATACCCATCCAAGGGAAGGGTATTCTAAGAAGCTGACAGATTAAAAGTGCTGTCCTAAGCAGAGTTATATCCTGCAAACCCTACTGAATTCAGTGTGACTTATTTCTGAATGTGCACGCATGGAATATGGTTCCAGGACAGAGGCTTTTTAAACAGCAAATCCGATTGGTGTGGGTTTCAAACGTGTAATATGAAGGGGTTCTATGGGAAGAATATTTAGGATGGAAGTACAAGATTACAGCCTATCACCATTTTCAACTTACTTTCTCATTTCATAGGTGCCTTTTTTTACAGTACCAAAGTTACCAGAGCCGAGTTCCTGGTCTTCCAGAGTCAGTAAATTTCTGTCAAGAGTGACATTTTTAGCTTTCATCTCTTCTGGGTCGGCATATGGACTTTCATAGACTGCAGTGTCCATGGGTAAAGCTTCCCTCTGATAGCCTATACATTGAACAGGAGAACACATTTACTGTCACACATTTTTGTAATCTGTTCTCATACTAGTCCCATTAGCTCTAAGATAAGAACTACTAAATGTTGGCTGTTTCTTTCTGCAGCTCCTGTCTCCATGCCTTCTGCAATACACTATCTTATACTAGCACCCTCACACACAATTTGGCAAGCCCCTCCCATCCCATCTCCAGGCTTTTCTGATGTTTTCCACCTTTACTTTAGTTACATTCCTATTATTATCTAAGTGCCCTCCTAGCCCATCTTGGCATTCCTCTTCACTTGCTGCTTTGATGGCCATTCAATGTATATGTTACCTTTTCTGAACAGAGACTGTGTCTCTTCTAGTGACTAGCATATCACTAGTGTTAAGTAGAAAATGTTAAATACTTAGCAGCAGGAGCAAAAAAAAAGAAGATGGTTCCTAAATTATAATTTTGGACTACTTGTGTACCTATGTGAAATCTGGTAGACAAATTTTCTAACATATCCAATTAACTGACAGAAAGCAATAATCTAGAACTAGCTTTGTTTTCTATTTAACCATTTGTAGTGGACAGTTATAGCTGATTATGATTTTTCTTCAAGGCCTTCTTCAAGGGATACCTAACTCTTGTCTGCCATCATAGGAAGGAAGCTATCACCACAGCACAACAGCGATTAGTTAGATGTTGCCATGTGTATAGGCAGAGAAAGAGGTCTTAGAAAGGTCAGAATTTACAAGATTGTTCTGTGGTTTGGAATTTTAAAAGGCCTTGGTAACCTTGACAAAGCAACTAATTGCAGATCATCAAAAGATGTTGGCTGGTCTTCTCCCAATGTGCCCATTTGGGAGAACACCAAAACTGCCTTCTTTAACCAAACCTGATCTGCAGTAACTAACTTTTCAATGGAAATTCGGCAAACTCTCACTGGCTCCCAATTGGTTTCTGAGCCTAATTCAAGGAACTCATAATGACCTTTAAAGCCCTACATCATTTGGGCCAAGCATACTTTAAGGACCACCTACTCCCATATGAAGCTTCCTGACCACTATACAGTCATCTTCTGAGGTCCTTCTTTAGGTGTTCCTTCCTTCTGAGTTTAGGCAGGTGGCAACATGACAGAGGGCCCTCTAGGTTGTGGCATCAACATTGCAGAACTCCCTTTCCCTTCAACAATCGTCTGTCCCCTCCTATCACTGTCTTCCACTGGCAGGTGAAGCCTTTTTTGTTAGTGACCACTCCTTCCTTCTCTATGTTTTAATTGCTGTTTTTAATGTATGTTTTAATTTTAGTTTTAATTGATTTTATGATGCATGATAATGGTCTGCTTTTGTTAAGCCACCTTGGTGGCCCTGGTTTTGGGCAGAAAGGTGGTATATATATTTTTAGAATAAACGAACACTTTTATATGCTGCCAAGCCAATTGATTTCTGAGTTCCACTGTTATAGACAACCACTTTCTGTCCCGTTCTATCCAGTTTACTTTTTGTCAGGAAATAAGTGTTTATTCATTGATAGCTGGATGGCCAAACTTTATACAAGCTGGTTTGTGTGTGCACTTAACATTGGAAATTCACATCTATATGTAACATCCTGCTGACGGCAAACATCCACAGATGGATGCATGTCTAATTTAAACTTGTAGTTTCTAAAACAAGGATACCTGAAGGCCAAATGACATGCCATGTTAAATAATAATATCAGAATTCCCAATAATGCTATTTTGCCATAAAAAGATGAAGAAGGGATTTGTTATGAATCAGTGCTACCATGCTGAGGAAGGGTGCTTAAGTTCCTCCCCAACCATGTCATTTACCCCATCAAAAATGCCTGGTAGGTATTAAAGCAACTGGATTGTCATGGGGGTCTGCCTGGGATGCAGCAGACAAACTTTTTGGGACAACGGAATCTGGCAGAGATAATTCTTTAGGCCTTAAAACTGGGGACACAGCCAAATTTTGAGATTCAAATAAAAGGGGTTTAAGATATAACTAACTATATAATGGAAGGAAAACTTCATAATATCAGCTAGACATAAAGCAAATCAAAGTCTACCTCAAGTCACCAAACTGGGATGGTAGGTTTCCCAAGGAACAGTATACACAATTGTAAGGAGAAAAAAAGAAAACAGAACTTTCACTTTCCAAATGATTAGATGAGACAGTGTGAGGGCAAGTGAGACTTTAACATCTAGTGAAAGACACAAAATGAGTCCACTAACAGACGAGCAGCATCTTCTACAGAATAACAGTTTTTAACCAGATACCTGTCCTTGCTTGTGAGAGTTCGTAAGTGTTAGATGTTGTAGGCACGGCAGTATCGTCATTGTAGGCACGGTTTGGTACAGGTAACTATAGCACACAAACAGAATTTTGTCTTAGTGCATTGTAAGTGTTATTTGGGGATTCTAAAACATAAATTAAGCAGTGAGAGATGTAGGCAAGGATTAACACACAAGAAAGGGAGCAAAGCTTACCTAAATCCTCAGGTTATTTCTTGTGTAAATATGCCAGCCAAACACACACTGCTAAAGCATAAAAGAATTCTGCAAGTACTGCAGAGCATTGTCTTACGAAGGAATTAACAAATGGCTTTGTATCAAATTATAACTCTCTTGAAATAATGACCTTATTTCCAAATCCTTTATCAATCTTTTACTGAAGCTAATTAATATTTTGTTTTCAATCTGTTCTATATTTTTATGCTTCTCTTTAGGATTTATGCATCATATAGTCCGGTCCCCCAAACTTCATGGACTTTGGAATGGTGACCTGGAACCAAATTTACATATTTAACACTACTTGAAATTACAGCAGTAGGCCACATTCTCTATTAAGTCAATCAGTTTGTGTTCCTACCTAAACAAAAATCTTAAAGGCTACTTAACATGAATTATCTTGTGCATGCTGGCTTATCTAGGTTTATGGCTAAGGCAGCGGCAATTCATCTATACTGGCCTCCCCTGCTCTGCCCAAATTTATTCCACCATGGCTGACTTTCTTACCCACCCATTTGCTCTGCATTGTTCCATCTACAGCTACCCGCAATCTGAATCCCTTGGAACTTTAATTGCACAGCAGACCCCATCAAATGTTTTAGCAGTGTTTTAAAAATGTTTTATGAATTGATTAATTAATAATTTTATATATTTTAAGGTTGTATTATATTTCAATTATGTTGTATGTTTTAATCGTGTTGTAACCCACTCTGAGCCTGTTGTGCAGGGGAAGGTGGGTTAAAAATTAGATAAATAAAATATCTTGGAAATGTCAGTGATTGAACCTTGGCCCATCTGTATATAAAGCATGTGCTCTTCCACTAGGGTTGCCAACTGGTGGATGATACCCAGCAGGTTACAGGAAACAGGGACATGGGGGGTGCCATTGCATCAACTGTGTGACATCATTTCTGGGGTGAACCTGGAAGTGATATCACTCAACCCTAGGATACAGTGGAAACTCTATGGTTTTACCATACAGCGTTTCTGCTGAATGCTAGAGTGACATAATGCCAGGGTTCACCCCGGAAATGACATCACATCACTGTCAGAAGAGTGATTTTTGCATTATCAAGAAATGGTGGGTATTGAGGGCTGCTGGTGGGAGGCAACTCGATATTCCATTGAGCTTTGACTTTTCTTGTTATGTTATCACTAGTGTAGAGATAAAATTGACATATGGAAATCAAATTTAAGCTTATTTTAAAGCAAACATATTTTGGGGCTTTATCTTGGTAAACTGTTTCACGGCAGATTTAACTGTGTATAAACTCTACTTTAAATGGCTTGGAATAGAATATTTGCCCAACATACACTGAAAAAATTAAACTTGCAGCTGGGGGTTTTAAAAGAACTTTGGGGTCACTGATTCATTTAGCTCTTGTCAGGCTTATTGTCCCACATCTCTTAACAGCATTGGTTAGGAACCAATGAAGAAGAAAAATTCCTGGTGACTACTGTATAATATGGGAAGCCACTGTTTAGATCTTTGATATTGAAAAGCAGCCACAGTTGGGGGAGGAAAATTATCAGTCAAATACATTTTTCCTTTTTCTAAAGAGGAAAAAAGAAAACTAAAGATATTTGCTCAAAAAAGGAATTAATATTAGTGGAACATATTTCTAAAGAGATATATTTATGATCTCAGTAAGGTTTACTATATAATCCTAAAACAGTTACTTATACATAAAAAGCTGAAATGTGTACTGATACCAGAGTACAAAATACACATAAATGGCATCTTTTATAAAAAGTGTATGAATATATTTCTTGCATGTCATATGTAAAGTGCATAGAAGTATGGCTTTAATGGTTTCATAGACAGTGGTGGTGCCATATATTTTAAAGTTTAGTAATACACATGCACATGCTTTCTGCGACTGACATGTATGTTTTCTCCTGCTCAAACCAAGGCATTGAAGTTTGGAGAGAGAAAGTATAGACACCTGCGTTTTGTCCACAGCCATGATCTTCTCCTCACCAAGAGAATCTGAAGGAAGATTTAGTCCTGTTACACAATCCTAAACATGTCTACCCAGAAGTAGCAGAACAAAGTTTGAGTCCAGTGGGGCACCTTTAAGACCAACACTGTTTAATTCCAGGTATAAGCTTTCGTGTGCACGCACACTTCTTCAGATACCTAAAATAAAACTTTGTTGGTCTTAAACGTGCCGCTGGACTCAGACTTTGTTCTGTTGCTTCAGACCAACATGGCTACCCAACCTGAATCTACCCAGAATTGATTGGGGCTTATTCCCAGGAAAGTGTCCTTAGGATTTTAGCTTAAGTTACCTTGAGCCAGACTAAAAGCCCTGTGAAATAATTTTAATATTAAGGCTTGTTAGCAGGGCTTTTTTCCTGGGGGAACGAACTGGAATGGAGTTCCAGAACCTCTTTGACAAAATTCTTTAAAAAATGTTTAAAAGTTCATGAGTTTTCAGTATACACACTGAAAACGTCATTTCCCTCTTGAGAGTTCCGGCACCTCTTTTTCCAAAAAAAGCCCTGCTTGTTAGAATTCATTAGGAAAAGAGAAACTCACTGTATTCTATCAATTGTTGACAGCAAAGATATGAATGGAAGTGAACCAAGAAACCTGCACACATCATTCTCCTGCATGATCTCTAAGCATTCGGGCTATTATTGCTGGCAGACAGAAATCAAGAAGTGACAAACAAGCAGAGGATGGCAAACAGGAGGAGGCAAAGAACATGGCTTGAATCAGCCATCACTTTTCAGGAGATCTCTGCAGCTTACCTTGAAACCAACATGGACAGCACAGTAGGAGGCCAACACCCCTCCCCTACACACACTTATAGAGCTGCCAGGCTCCAAGACAAGCTGCAGTCTCCTCCACCAACTCCTGCTGCTGCCATCCAGCTCCAAGTTAGCAACATATGTTGAGGGGTGGGGTGGGAAGAAACATGCATCTCTTACCATACTCCTACAAGACGGAGCTCTTCCGCCAAGCATTTAATTAGGGGCCGCCGCTACTGCAAGCCGCTACTGCAGGCCGTTACTGCAGAGCTCTGGTCTGTGGTTTTAACATCCAACTGATTATGAGCAGAAACATCATGGAACATCTGGGCAGTGGAAATTTACTCTGACAATATACCATCTAGGTTAATTTTTAACTGCCGTCAGCACTTTGTATTTATATTGTTTTTATTTGTGTGGTTAAATATTTGTGTAATTTTAATGTATTTATGTTTTTATGGAAGCCGCCCTGAGCCCGCTTTGCGGGGTATAAATTTGATAATAAAAAAATAAAAAAATAAATTCTTGGGGCAGCAAAGTGTAATGAGGTCGCCTTGAATATCATTACAGTTTTCTTAATATGAGGAAGAAGTCTCAAAGTGGCTTACAATTGTCTTCCCTTCCTCTTCCCACAACAGGCACCTTGTGAGGTAGGTGGGGTGAAATAGTTCCGTGAGAACTGTGGCAGGCCCAAGGTCATCTATAGGGTTGCCAGGTCCAATTTTGTCCCTGGTGGGGGACTTTGGGGGGTGTTCCCAAAGGGGGTGGGGCATCCCCAATGCAATGATGTCACATCGGAGACATCCCACTCCAAGCCCCGCCCCCAAGAACAATCACCGGTGGCCACCCCTCTCCCTAACCTCCTGCAAGATTTAAAGGGCCTGCCAATCAAGTGGAGGGCCCTTTAAATCCTGCAAGAGGGGAGGGAGAGGGGCAGCCACTGGTTGCATGTTGGAACTCCAAGCAACAGTCCAGCCGGTGGGGCCCCACGCGCAATCTCCAAGTGGCATTGCAGCCTGGAGACCGGGTGCACGGGGCCAGTCCCCACTGGCCAAAAGCATTTAAAGGGATGCTCTAAGTGCTTCAGTTGGCAGGGCCCCATGTGCCTCCAGCCATGCCTCTCCCTCCCCTCTGCAAAATTTAAAAAGCTGAAAGCTGGAGGGCCCTTTAAAACTCTCAAGAGAGAAGGGAAGAGGGGTGGCTGCGGGTGTTCAGGTTTGGGGGCCAGACAGCAGGTTGAAGCCCAAAAAAGCAGGTAAACTGCCGCCTGGTCTGGGGGTCTGGTGGCCCTAGTCATCTAGCATGCTTCATGTGAAGGAGTGGGGAATCAAACCAAGTTCTCCAGATTAGAATCTACCACTTGTAACCACTACACCACGCTGGCTCTTTTATTATAATTTTTTTTAAGTGTTCTAACACAAAATAGGGGGGGTATCCTTTCTAGACACAAAAGAGGCTCGTCCATAGCCAACTTTCTTCAAAGCAGTTGTTAAATTTGCATGGCATAAAAGCTTTATAAGAAATTACAAAATAAGTGTCAAACAGGTTTAGGATGACCAGGATTTTTATGACATGGTGAAAGTTAAGCTTTGAATTATCATAAACCACCAAAAGGGCTCAGTCTGAGGAGGGAGGGAGAGAGAGAGATTATGTTTTACTTTGTCCTGGGGTTATGTAGAAATTCCTGTACAGCCCATAAAGCATTAGATATGCATTTAATTACACTGTTTGATATATTCACAGTGTAATCTTAAACAGCCTGTTAAGCCTGTTGAATGCAACAGAGAAAGGTATAACTCTGTTCAGGATCTCACTATCAGTCTCCAGATTCTAATGCTATTTACTAAACTTTTCCATAACAAAGAATTAGGTGACTTCAGTAAAGCTTTCTGGGTTTGAGTTGAGTGACAGTTCTTATGCAACAGCATTTGCTTGTCTTCTCAGAGTAGTGAAGGACTGCAGGTAAAATTGCTAAGATCAGAATTTTTAGTGAACCTAACTTCTGTGCTGCTAAATAAATACAAAACTGGTCGGTGCTAAAAGCCCCAGTTAATGAGAGGGGGGGGGAATCAGAATTCTGAATTGCAATTCTTGCTATGGCATTCTGCTAGAGTCACACCAACTGAGAATGGAAATTCTTGCTGACTGTGGCAGAAGGCTTTGAAGCCACAGGAGACTTCTTCTCTGCTCGGTTTAACATCACTGGACAGCTCTATAAATTATGCATCATGCTTGCCTGCTTTGTAGTACATGGCCCCAAAACTCACATGGCAAAAGAAAATATTTTTAGCAAAGGTTTGTGCTAGCCGCATTAACATGCCTACATGCCTCTAAAGGCAGAGTACTACTTGGTGGTAAAACAAATTATTTCCTACCTTTTCACTGCAGAGAAAAATGATCCCAGTGAGCATAAATTCTGTTCCAAAGCTTATCTACTTGCTATTCATCTACCAATTTCCCTTCCCTTACCAATTAGACTTCTTTATCATGCAAAGACAGTGTGCAGCAAGCCTTTATTGATATTAAAAACCAATATTTTCTTAAAACTTAAGTTCCTAGACCAAGAATTTACTTCTTCAATACAGATGAAAAAAATTGTTTCTTATTTTTCTTAAGAAGAAAATACAAGATACCACTGTTCCTCACATGGTAGCCAGTAGACTGGTCAAAAACTGAATTGCAAAGGGGTAGCTGTGTTAGTCTGGTACAGCAAAATAAAACAAATGTCCAGTGGCACCTTAAAGACTAGGGGGAAAAGCTATCAAAACCAGCAGCACATCTACATTGTTTGAGCTTCTGGTCACACTTCTACATTCTGCACTGTGATGTGTGGCTGAAAAAAGGACCAATCACTTATGAGCAATGTTCCCTCTAAGCTGTGGAGTATTGTGAGCAAAAATTCTACTTTTGAGCTACTGGCACTAAAGTTGTTAGCAAGTGATTTGGCTGCTGCATAACTTAGTTGGCTCTGGAGCCATCCTTCCTGAGTTAAGACAAAAATGTGTGAGCTGGAGGCTAAAAACTGTGAGCTAGCTCACACTAACTCAGCTTAGAGGGAACACTGCTTATGGGTAACGTATTAAACTACCCCCATTGAAGAGTACCAACATCTGACATTTTACTTCTTCTAAATCAGTAATGTGGACTGAGAGGGCTGGTTTTCAGATCTGGCCAGCTACCACAGCAGACAGCAACTATCCCAACTGAGGGGAAAAGAAGGCTAGGACAGCTTCTTTTTAAGAAGCAAGAGCAATTACATTCTTCTTTCTGTTTGAAGGAAGATAATTCACCCAAATTAATAATATTTAAAGTTGACTAAACTTATTTAAAGATTTTAAAATAAAAGACACATATGATACAGGCATACTAGATCTTCCTCTGTACAATGTAATAGTAGTTCATCTGGGTTTTTCCCCCAATTCCCTTCTGTGTATATGTTCTGGCATATATTATTCACAGGAACGACGTAAGTACACATCAGGAACAGATACTAGAAAGTGTAACCACTTTTATTTTTGCTATGTATTAGCCATGAGTTAATTCTATCAACTAAGGCCAAAAGTAAAAGCTGAAGAAAGTTGCCAAATGTGCATAGAGGATTAGCAGCAAGGCACAAAGTCATTAAACCATCAAAGAGAGATGTAAGTGAGGGTAAGTCCTTTCACGCATTTATAAACCTACAGAAGTACATTTTATGCACCTTCTTGCTTCCTGCCTTTGGGAAAGTGTATGATTTGAGTCTGGAGAAAATTCCACCTGTTGACAAAGTCTAGAAACCATAAAGGATATCAAAAGGATCAATAAGGGAATCAGGAAATGTTAAAGTAGTATTTCATAAACACATGCCTATATTCTACAACAGTGGTTGGTTTCCAAAAGTTGAACTCAACAGTGCTGTTTTGTATCTTTTCCAGAGCCCACATGTACCAGCCCTTTCCTTTAACAACAGAACTGACTCTTCCTTAAACCATTTCTTGCCAGTCTCTAACACCCACTGTCCTAAACCCTAAAACTTTTAGGTGATTTCTACTGAGCATTGGGGGCCATCAACTAATAATTTAAGCATTATTATTCAGACACAATCTTGTCATTTCTCTAAGAGAAAAGTTCCTTAAAACTGGATTTCAAATCACTTGTGAACAGGCAGGAGCCCACTGAAGAAACAATTATTTTATTTAAAACATTCTAATGCTGATTTTCCACACAATCAGAGTTCACAAGGTGGTGAACATAAAGACATTAAAGCATTTAAACAATTAAAATACAATTAAAATATAAAATACAATTAAAAATATGAAATTCAATTAAAAACACTTAAACAACCAACATTAGAAGGAGGCCAAAATCCATCTTTGGGGGTATGCCAGACAAAACAAGTAATCTTCAGTTGGCTATTATGATGTTAAAAATATATAAAACAGGTGGAGGCAGGATCCAGTTTGCTTTTCTATTGGTGAAAAATGGAGGAGGGAGTCATATTTGGCCAACAAAAAGGGCTATGCTGAGGATCATGGGCCCTACATAAACAAAAGTCATATGGGATGGGCACTGTAGCGAGGAGGAGAAGTGGGCAAGATTTAGTGGGAAAACCTGATGGATTCAACTCTGGATGTAAAGTTAACAACAGCTTTTTAAAGTATAGCATATCTTGTCCACTACATTTTTAGTACCTTCTTTCTGATGTGAAACATCAGTTTTCCAGTTTTAATAAAATTAATCTGGGGCAATTTTTTTTCCAAATGTTCCTACTGTGCTTGTGCTAATGTTGTTGACAACAGAATGTACTTGACAACAGAAAAGTCAGTCAAATGTCCTTATGAGTGTGTATTCAGAAAAACAGATTTTATCTATCATATTTTAGCATGCCCTTTGTCAGGACAACATATGTGGTTCTCCCATCCTCTACTTTAGGCTCACATTAACCCTGTGGTACAGATGAGGCTGACAGTGACTGCCCCAGCCTCACCTAGCAAGCTTCATGGCTGAATGGAAATTTGAACCCAGGTCTATGGAGTCCTAGTCTAATGCTAGGATATTGGTTTCTAAGAAAAACAGACCACTGAATGGAGAAGTCGCCATCACCTTTAATTTAAAAAACCCAACTCTATAGTTTCTGAGTCTGCTTGCCCTAAATAGGACAATTTTGTGATACAGCACTTAGCTGAATCTTTTATTTATTTGAAACCTTTTCTCTTTCAGACTCAATTCAAGCAATTAGCTGTGTGAGTGGTTGCTTCAAACCCAACAGTACAGAGACTGTTTCACATGAGCAGCAATGTAATTACAGCCACTTTCAACATACCACCGCGAACTGCAGTTGGTGACAGTTTATTCTGACATAGTGAAAACTTCCAGAACCACATGGGAAACCACTTTACAGCTGTGTTTCAAGCAACCACCCATGCAAGAAAGAGAAAAAGTAAGATTTGTTGAACAGGGTCTTAAAACAGCACTCAGTTTTAAGACTACATGTGCCTCCTTCAGAGGGAAACAAGTCAAGTTAATCTTTTAATACCTTCATTTCTAAAATAAGTAAGATGGGAATCTTTAATACTTTTCAGTGAAGATGGATAATTTCGCACCCTGGTGTTCTAATCTGCAGCTCTCCCATCCCTCTCCAAATGGTTTTCATTAGCATCCTGGCCACTATACCATTTAAGCATAGCCTAGATCATTCTCTTGTTTCCTGTTTTCCTTCCTTGCCTATGACATTCCTTGTCAACATATTTATATTCCCTGTTCGAATTAAATTTAGAGGTAGTAATAATTGAAAAGTAAATATATATGCAGAACCACTTTTTAAATTACCTATTTCAAGTGTAGAACTTATTTGTTTCCTTGCTTGGAATTTGGATGATTCTATGATTCTATGGTTTTGGATGATTTTACACAGAATATACAATATCCTGTATATAAGTGAAACAACCAGTATTTACTTTGGCATACGCCGTTGCTGTAGTTATTTTCACACAAATTAGCTGCTCCATAACCTTTACTTTAATTCTCTGCTCTTATGACTACAGTCTTGAGCATTAATAATTCAGCATAATAACAACTGAACCTTAATAAATTCCATAATCTTTAAAGACTGAGCAAATAGTCTATACAATGAATGATGCTATTGTATGATTATTGTAAAATCTCATTATGTCATTAAAACAGTCACTGTCACTTTTGACCAGTACATTTTCTTACCTGGAGACGACCAGGAAGAGGTGGGCAGGGTCCAAGATCAAAACTGCCTAAGATAATGACATATAATAATTACTACAAAAAATTAAATCTGCTTCTACCACCAGGAGTTATGTGGATTGCCAAATAAGACAAATGAGTTCTAGATCAAATCTGAACTCTTGCTAGAAGCAAAAATGATTAAACTGAGGCTATTGTACCTTGGTCACATTATGAGAAGACAAAGAGTCACTGGAAAAGAAAATAATGCTAGGAAAAGCTGAAGGTAGCAGGGATAGAGGAAGACCCAACATGAGATGGATTGACTCTATAAAGGAAGCCATGGTTCAAGCAGATATAAACTACATTTTGCACTACATTTGCTATCTTACTCTCTGGACATGAGCATATCACAGCAATAATGACATTTACAAGAGTTTCTCCAAGATAGCTCTGCCATGCTTGTTCAGTATAGGATTGTGCTTCTTATTTAAGCAACAGCCTTTCAGGCAGAGGTCATTTTTGGGGGGATTGCAGGGGATCGCAGTTCCCCCGGGTGAGGTACGGGGGGCGGGACACATGACGAAGCCCTGCCCCCTGCTTCCGGCCACCCCGCTTCCGGCCCTCATTCAGCCAGGAGGAGGCAGGAGAAGAGGGAGGGTAAGTTGCTTCCTCCCTGCCTCTCCCCACCCCTGCCTGCCTGGGGCCAGGGAGGGCCTTCACGGGGCTTCCTTGCACTCCCGCCGGCCTTGCAGGTCCACCGCTGGGCCCCTCATGGGGCTCGGCAGTGGAGCTGCAAGGCCGACGGCGGCCGGGACCGTTGGGGGCGGGGTGTGTGGCCTTATGACACACTTCCAGTGATGTCAGGGGGTGTGGCCTTATGACACACTTCTGGTGATGTCAGGGGGTGTGGCATATGCTAATGAGTTATGCTAATGAGTTCCCCTAGCTCTTTTTCTACGAAACGACCCCTGCTTTCAGGGATAATTCGGACATCACACAGAACGCTATCAATGAGTGTTATCAACTTCCATTGATGGGAACTAAAAGGCATAGGAACTGAAGTGATAGATGAATGATCCATGGTCGTTGTGTCACAGGCAATGTCATACAGTTAGGAAAAAATATACATGATAAATGGATCCACGTTCTACAATTAACAAAAAAAATACTCACCATTCATAGGCTGAAAATTTGGACTTGGAACTGGATCTTTGAGGATTCTTAGCAACCCATCTGCTTTGTAAGAATAATGTTCCACTAGCTATCAGAATAGAACATAATAAAGATTCGATGAGCAATGTAATTGTTACTGGTGGTGTACAAAGTCTTGGCTTTGAGCAGCAAATTCAGCGCAATTGGGCTCCTTGGTCCACAGTCTCCAAAATGTTCATTGTATGTCCACTCCATACAAGTGAAGAAAAAGTTCTAGTGTATTTATGGGAACAGAACTAAGAAGAATCTGAAAGATTCCCTCAGAAGAAGCTGCATGCGAAACATGCTGGGGCTGTATAATTATGAAAGATAAATAGGTACCACTTCGGTGGGAAGGTAACAGGGTTCCATGCGCCTCGGCGTCTAGTCATGCCAGCCACATGACCACGGAAATGTCTTTGGACAGCGCTGGCTCTTCGGCTTGGAAACAGAGATGAGCACCGCATCCCTAGAGTCGGACTCGACTGGCTTTCGAGCAAGGGAAACCTTTACCTTTACCAATTTCCCTCTGCACCAATTTGTTTCTTCATCTGCACTCCACACAAGTGCCACAACATTCCTGTGGCTGCTAGGCTGACCAATTTATTCACAACATCCCTTTTTCATGCCACTTGCTGCTCTGAGAGCCCTGCTTCTCAGGGATTCTGTTCTTAGAAAGGATATGTATGTAAGCAGTGCTCCCTCTAAGCTGTGGAGACTTCTGAGCAAAAATTCTACTTTGTGAGCTACTGGCACTAAAGTTGTGAGTGAGCGATTTGGCTACTGCATAATTTTTTTTTTAGCAGATAACTTGCATAGCATTAAAAGTCAGAGCAGCTGCCTCAGCACCATCTTAGGGAGCTCTTTCCTTGTCACTGCATAAATTAGTTTCATCTGAAGCCATCCTTCCTGAGCTAAGACAAAATATGTGAGCCTGAGGCTAAAAAACTGTGAGCTAGCTCACACTAAGTCAGCTTAGAGGGAACACTGGTAATATAATCCTTGCAATGCCACTGCCAAAATGAGTGAGTGAGAGGAAGGGTATTCTGTGGAAAGCAGCACCCCGCCTAGAGTGGGGAAGGCAGAAATCGGAGAGATGTTGCCTCATACATACTACAAAATGACAATTTGGTTGTTGTGCATATGTTGAGGCTTTGTTGAAATGACAAAGTACACAGAGCAGCTACTGCTCCTGTTAGTTAACAAATCCATCCATATTAACTGTGAACCTCTTAAACAGCATCCATGATATCATACCTACTTTTCTCTGCATCTCTATGCAGGAAAAAGTATGACATTCATTTTTTCATTATCCATGTTAAATCTGGCAACTAGCAATTCACAAAGCAGCTGCCATGCGCTTTGAACTAAGAAGTGAATAATTACTATTTCAGTGCCACTCTACAAATTCAAACCACTCATATACATACACACATTTCTTATGAGCAAGCAATCAAACTAACCCAAACCACAGAGGAAATGGTGCACAAGACTTCATGGATTGATTCTTCAGGGCTCAAACTTTCAGTTGGATTTTAGTACCACAGTGAATCTTACATTATATAATATTACATTACATAGTACAACATATAATTCCACTGAACGTATGCCAGTATGGCTGTGGTCACACGGAACATTAGCCACGCCAGAGAGATGGAAGATAGGCAGATTTTCTGGGCGCGATCTCACCGGCACATCTGGGAAGCGTAGTGCTCCCGTGGCTCAACCGAGGCTTCCCGCAGAAGACACGCGGCAAAAAACTAGTACCTCGGAGGTACTAGTTTCCGGAAACCGCGGGGCAAGGGCGGGCGTATGATCGCGTTTCCGGTGGCATCCGGCGCCCGCCCATGTCCCCTCACAAAAACCTTTCCCCCCCCCAATTCTCCATGGATGCGCACAAGCATCCAACGGAGCATGCGCATACTTCAGTGTACAGGAAAAAAACCCGTTTGCCCTGGAGGAAGGTGAAGAGGCGACTGCTTGTCCAACCGTCCCCAGGAGCCGCACGGAAGACAGCTTGGGAGTCGCTCAGAGCGGCGACACCCCCCCCTCCGGGGGACCTGTCTTTCGGTTCCATTGTCAGGACTCAAGCTCCCTCTTCCCCACCCCTTGGCCACGTCCGTTTCTCCCTTCTCCTCCCCCCCGAGTGACCTTCTGGGACATGTAGTCTGTTTCAGCCGCTTCTTTGCCACATGGTCGTGTGGTCGGCACCTCCCACCAATACACGGGACCTCTATGGGACCTCCACCAGACGTCTGCTCGCGCAACAATGCGTTAGTTTGCCCCAGGCTAACAGCCACGCTCCCCCCCCCCCGCGCACTTTCCTGCCTGTGTGACCGGAGCCTGTAATAAGTTAAAGGAGCCTCAGGAATATTGTGAGATGCCAGTATAAAGGGGAAATTGGCAGCAATACCACATATATTCAAGTGCAAGTTCCTGCTCTATTTGCAGAAGAGCTTATACAAGAACAGGGAGAGTGATTTCTACCATTTTTTTTCTTGCAACAGCCTCATGTACAGCATACCATTCCCAAGAATCCTGACCTACAGAAGCAGCTTTTCAGGGGTGTAAGGAGGTTGCACTGAGAAGGGATATGTGACAAAGATCATTTCTGTGAATTTGCTTTGTTTGCAAATGGCTGGAACCAGTGTGCAAATTAACAGCTGAGTGATTGAAATTTGACAAACCTGGCAGAGAGTATCAAATTTCTTTCCTTCTGGGATTGAGAGCTTTCCCCTCTTGTCCTTATCAATGCGGTAATGAACCACCCTTCCTTCATGCAGAAGACAGAGAGCAAAGGATCCACTGATGTCTTTTTCCCTGATTCTGCAAAAGCAAATCCAAGTCAAAAGTTAGTTGGGGGGAGGAGAGGGACAAACATGCTTAAGGAGACAAAATGGGACTAGCAGCAAGGCTAAAACCATACCCTCACATTGTCCATCATTAGCTGTGTATTGCTGCCATTCCTCACTGTGATTTTTTTTGTATCACTTTCAGCTTTTTGTATATCTGCTGGAGATTGTTATTGTGTACTTCCCACCAAACAAACCATGATGGACTCTTTCTCAGCTTTTTCCTCACTGACTTTCAACAGAAGAGGCAGAGCTGAGAGGAAAAGATACAATTATCTACTAAATGGCTAAGAATCCGGCTAAGAATCCAGATGATACAATATGAGGGAAATTATTTTCTTTCTTTCTATTGCATCTGAAGAAGTGAGCTATGATTCATGAATGTCCATGCTGGAATAAATTTTGTCAGTATTTAAGGTGCCACTGGCATGGCATCTATATTGTTTTTCTATAGTAGACTAACACCTTTCTATAAGAATATAGATGTCTATGTTGTTCCCCCCCGCCCCAGTCTGCTGCCTTCACTATAAAGTTGCTGCTCAGTTTTCCTCTGAATATGGAAGTACACACATGGAGGTACCCATCATTCAAATTACTGGATTAGTGGTTTACAGGTTTCTATAATGATTATATATTAGTGTTTTGTTAAGTGCCAGATTAAAGTTATTGATCACACCAGATCATTTGGATACTCTGAGCAGAATAAGGAATGTTATTTTATAACTGTAAACTACACTTTGATATATTTTGACTGGAAAAATAACAGAAAAATGTAGTCCAAGTGCATTAGTAAGCTTTCTATATGGGAACGTGAACATTTTTGAAGCAGTCCACAGCAGTGCCAGTTTCCTTCCATCAATCTTCCTGGTTGGCATTCTGCCTGCCATACTACCAGAGGACTTTCTAAGGACATTTTGAACAAATTGGTAGTTGTTATTTGGCTTGATTATATAGATGATCTTTTTTTAAAAAAAAACAGAACCTGTCGAGTCAAGAACACCATCCCATGGTGAAATGCTGCTGTTTTTCTTGAATGAGATAAAGTCAAAACTACAGGCAGGTAATAATTTCATCTCATTGACTTCTGAATTAAGGAAAGCTGAATGTCCTCTTCATACTTTTCATGGTACCCAGCCACAGGATTATGGATGCAGTATGGATCTTTTCTAGATTCTCACTTCCTCAGTTAAGATGTGATAAAACATCCTTTCTACTGTGCATATAATTGTTATGAAATAAGCCTTATTTCAATAGGATTTCATCACCACAGAAAAGACCTCCCTAGTACTAAAATATTTTTGGAACAGAGAATAACTCACAAATTCTCATGACCCCATATAAGAACACAAGAAGAGCCCTGCTGGAACAGACCAGTGGTCCATCTAGTCCAGCATCCTGTCTCACACAGTGGCTAACCAGTTCCTCTGGCCAACCAGAGGGCATAGAAGCCGAGACCTTCATCTGATGTTGCCTCCTGGCACTAGGATTCAGAGGCTGACTGCCTCTGAACATGGGCATTCTCCTCAGTCACCATGGGCAGTAAATGCCAGTAGACCTATCATCTATTAATCTATCTAATCCTCTTTTAAAGCTGTCAGTGTCTGGGGCCATTACTACATCCTCTGCATAAGAACATGAGAGAAGCCAATGTTGGATCAGGGCCACTGGTTCCCAAAGTGGGCAAAACCACCCCCTTGGGGGTGCTGGAACGATCCAGGTGGGTCGGAACGATTCAGGTGTAGATCCACAAACTGCATCTTTTTGTCCACTTCTTGAAGGTAGATGTCCAGGGGGGCACTGAGTAATTTTTTTTTCTGAAAAGGGGGCGGTGGGACAAATAAGTTTGGGAACCTCTGGATCAGGCCAATGGCCCATCCAGTCCAACACTCTGTCACACAGTGCCAAAAATACCAGGTGGCATCTAGAGATCCACCAGTGGGGCCAGGACACTAGAAGCTCTTCCACTGTTGCCCCCCCCCAAGCACCAAGAATACAGAGCATCACTTGCCCCAGTCTGAGAGTTCCTATCTATACCTTATGCCAATACCTTGTGCCAATTCTGGCAATGAATTCCACTTTTTAATCACTCTCTGTGTAAAGAAATATTTCCTTTTGCCCACATGATTTATATACTATAAAAACACATCATTCTAAAATATGGCTTCATTCTATTGTTTATCCTTAACTAGGAAGAATGCCCATTGTGGAACTGAAGACAACGGGGTGGTAGCCTGGACGTGGGTCGCCGTCTCCATCTGGCCCCCTCAGGACAAAGCTGGCCGTCATGACCCACACGGTCGAGGCTCCAGCGGGCCAAGGCGCCTGGCATCGCCCCTCCCCCCGGCACCCCCGCCCGATTGAGGCGCCAGTGGGGGAAGCCGGCCAGGCTTGCCCCTCTCCCCACAATGGGTGCGAGCCCAGCTGGGCGCAGGGCACCACCCACTTCCTGACCCCCCAACTTGGGGAAGCAACCCACATTCCCCCTCACAGGGTCGAGGCCCCAGCGGGTCAAGCCGCCTGGGTTGGCCGCTCCCGCCACCACCCCTGGCCGAGCAAGGCCCCAGCAGGGCAAGCGGACCAGGCTCATCCGTTTCCCTGCAGTGGGCGGCAACTTGGGCGGCCGGCTGCAGGCCCGCGTCTCCTTTCCCGGATCCCTCTCCTTGGCCCTCCTGCCGCGCAGTCGAGGCTCCGGCGGGCCAAGCTGCCTGGCCTCATCTGTTCCCCCGCCATCTCCAAATGATCGAGGTGCCGGCGGGGGAAGCTGGCCAGGCTCGCCCCTCTTCCCGCAAAGGGTGTGAGCCAGGCTCAGGGCGCCATCCACTTCCCGGTCTCCACGACCCGGGGAAGCAGCCTGCACTCCCCCCCATGGGGTTGAGGCCCCGGCGGGTAAGGCGCCTGGGTTGGGTGTTCCTGCCGCCACCCCCGGCCAAGCGAGGCCCCAGCGGGGCAAGCGGACCAGGTTTGTTCGTCTGCAATGGGCGGCAGCTGCAATGGGTGGCAGCTCAGGTGGGTGGCTGCAGGCCCGCGTCTCCTTCCCTAGCCCCCTGTCCTCTGCCCTCTTGCCCCGCATCGTCGAGGCTCCAGTGGGCCAAGCCGCCTGGCCTCCCCCTCCCCCTGGCACCCCCGCCCGCTCGAGGCGCTGGTGGGGGAAGCCGGCCAGAGTCACCCCTCTCCCTACAATGGGCGCGAGGCCCCACCTCAGGGAATCAGTCCACAGTCCCCCCCCGTGGGGTCGAGGCCTCGGCGAGTCAAGGCGCCTGGGTTGGCCGCTCCCGCCGCCACCCTCGGCTGAGTGAGGCCCCAGCGGGGCAAGTGGACCAGGCTCGTCCCTCTCCCTGCAATGGGCGGCAGCTCGGCCGGCCAGCTGCGGGCCTGCGTCTCCTTCCCCGGACCCCTCTCCTCGACCCTCCCTCCGCAAGCTCGAGGCCCCGGCGGGCCAAGCCACCAGGCCTCGTCCGTCCTCGCCACGGGGCGACGGGACAGGCTGGGCCTGGCTTCCCGGCCAGCCTCAGGTGTGGTGGCACGGCGCCATCTCCCCTCATCCACAGACCGCACGGGGGAGGTGCGAGGGAACGGATTGCTGCCACCTCCCTGCTTGGCCACCCCCGGTGCCTTTCCAGGTGGCTGGGTGGAGCCAGCGCATGTCGGCCTGGGCCTCCTCTTGGCTGGTGGCGGCTCCTGGCTGCTGCGGCTCAGCAGCGGTGGCATGGCCATGTCTGGGGCCTGCAGGCCGAGTGAATGTGTCTGGCCAGTGGAGCACCCGGCCCGGGCCGCGGTTCGAAGGAAACTGAGGGCAAAAGGATGGTCGCTGCCTCCGTGGGCAGGAGGACACCCACACAGGCAGCAGCACAGCGAATGGAGAGAGACACCCTGTGAGTGACACACCAGGGCGCCAACCAATTCCGGAGCGTGTGGAATGTTCTAGAGAAGTACCACTACCATCCGGCTTTTATTTATAAGGGAGATTTCAAGGGGGTTTTGTCCATGAGTGTACCTCATTTGAAAAGTGTTTGTACATTGCAGAATTCAATTTAGAAGAAAATCTATTGCTTTTTATGCTGCCTGAAAAAAGCAGCAGAAAACATAAGTGATCGAGTCAAGACTTTTCCAAGCTTCTTAGATAATAAAGTACTATGCATTTCTTAACAGCCTGTCTCAGCTGCTAAAAGAAGGAGGAAATGGACAAAGGAGATGGAAAGCACCCAAAAGGCAAAATGTTAATAAAAAACCCCCCAAAGTTGGGGTGGGGGAGAGATATTTGCAGTTAATTTATTCAATTATAAAGAAATCCATGTCATTTAGAACTTGTCAAGTGAGATGAAGCCACATATAAAACAACGGAACAGCAACATTTGCTTTATCATGGATGTGAGTGAAATACGGCAGAGTCTATTACAGTCTACTGCCTTTAGACAAAGAAACATATGCTATCCAGTTCACAAAGAGAAAACAAAGTTATGACAAATCACTGATTCCAGTCCGTCATTTAGCTCTCACATGACTATGGGCAAGGAGTTGTGGCTGTAAGATGAACTAGAGTGCCTACAGGAGGTCAGATCATCCTCAGTTCATTCACATTCAAGAATACTATTCTTAAAATTATACTTAAGACCCTAGGTGGTATAGACACCAAGATACAGAAAGGAGTCTGTCAGCTATCAGCAAGACTTATCACTCTTCTACAGTTAGTTTACCCAGAAGATGTGATATATATTTTTGGAAGGTAAGTTTCAGGAGGTGGCAATAGGGGACTGCTGCTCAGTACCGTGGCCTTTGGCTTAGGAGACCCACAGGGTTCCATGCTCTTCAACATCTACACAAAGCCACTGGGTAAGGTCATCCAGAGATCTGGGTTGGACTGTCACCCATAAGCCAATGATACTCATTTCTATCTCCCATTTCCAGTGTATCCCAAGGAGGCTGTAGAAACCCGGAACCAGTGCCTGGAGGTAGTTTTCAGGAGGATGTGGGCTAATAAACTGAAGCTTAATTGTGACAAGACAAAAGTGCTATTGGAGAGCTCTAGGACTGACCTGGGATATATGGTATCTGTTTGCTGAAGGTGCTGTTTCAGCGTAGCACAGCTGGACATATTTCATACCTATGTAGGGTTGCCAGGTCCCCTTGCTGCACCAGCGGGGGGATTTAGGGGGTGTTCTGGGCAGCCCCGTAGCCAGGAATTCTTTCATGGGGGGCAACCAGGGTGCCAGGGGCACTAATTAAAGTTACCATCCAAGGTAGGCAGGGCATCAGGTGGTAAGCTCATCCACCCCCACCCCCATGGCCAGATACTTTTCTGGGGAAGAAAGAGAGAGGAGGGAGGGAGGCAGCACAGCAGTGCGTCCCAGCCTCCCTCTCCCCTGCCAAATGAAGTGATGTCATCACATCGGTGAAGTCATGCAGTGACGCTCTGGTCTGAGGGCAAAACTCTATGGTTTTAGGCCAAATTTACCATAGAGTTTTCCCTTCAAACAAGAGCATCCCCATGATGTCCCCAATGTGATGATGTCACTTCCGAGTGACAACATTGCATCATGGATTTGGCTGTTTGGGGATGGCCAGCAGTGGGCTGAAACCCCAAAAATCCGGGGGTACCCCCACTGGGACCTGGGAGTGGGCAACCCTATATCTATGGATCAAGGTCCCTTTGGTGGTATGTAAGATTTCTTCTTTACAAAACCTTGAAGAAGGTTATAAAAACTGTTTTACTTCAGAGGCCATTTGTATGGATAGGAATTTATTTGTGTCTTTTCTGTTTCTTTTATGAGGCAAAGTTGTCGGGATCTGGTACTCCACAGGAATGTCAATTCTAACAAGCCACAAAATCAATAGATACAAGGTTAGATAGATATGCATACACATAAAGATATTTTACTAAATTCTGTAATTCTTAAAAAGCTGTGTGTCACAAAGCACTATGCGGTTCTTCTATCATTCTTCAGATCATATAGTGGAAAAATGTTTACTTACAAAAATTTCCCATTGGTCCTTGTCCCTAGAAGAATGCGTTGCTCTGATTCAGTTCGAGATATCATCCCATGGAACCAGGGCATCCTCAAATGTGCCGTTGTAGCAATCAATTTCTCTAGCTGTGGCTTCTGACTAATAATCGCTTGATCCAAGGCATAGCCCTGCACAGTGAACAGAATGGAAAAATAAGTAAGTTACACTGTTTTCTTTAAGAATATAATGTAAACAGTTCTAGAAGCTCAGCAAAGAGCTGAATGGCTTGGACGTATCCAAAATATTTTGTTTATAGTATATGCAGGACTTCTTTTCTGGGGGAACTCGCTGGAAAGGTGTTCCGAACCTCTTTGACAATATTCTTTTAAAAATGTTTATAAAAGTTAATGAGTTTTCAGTATATAGATTGAAAACTTCATTTCCCTCTTGAGAGTTCTGACACCCCTGTTTCTTAAAAGAAAAAAGAAAAAAGCAAGCTCTGGATATAGGAGAAGTAACTGCCTCAGGAATATCTGAAATCATAGTGCACAAAGTACATGGCTTAACAAAATTAACATGAATCACAATGAGTTGCAAAATAAGTGAGAACACTTCAAAAGGGGTATGCTAAAAATACAAACATTAAATATGCTGATCAACCTAATATATTAAATAGAAGCAAGAAGCCTGCAAGCAAACCCATCATCCAGGAATGCTCACTGAATAATGAGGCTCACTAGTGCTTTCTTGGTCAGGGATTGAGAGAAGAAATTAGCTTCTGTTTTATATTTGCAGAATAGTATGACATTTACTTACCAACTATTGAGAAAAGAGAGGAAGAGACAACTAGAAGGGCATTTTTATTGATTGTAAAATTCACCACTGACACCTGAACATTTTTTGTGCCCCTTATGCCTTTCCATCCTTCCTTCCTTCTCCTTACCTCATTTTGTATACCATGTACCAAAAACAAACAAACACATAAAACCCCCAGCTAGAATTACCTTTAGGTTCCATGTTTGTTTGACATATTCCCTGATCAGATTGTCCTTTAAGTCCTCAAATGGACTTGTTTTTGGTTCCACTCCTGGTGGTCGATTGTAGGGTTTCTTGAGAAGACAAACAAGACCATCAACTTCATCTGAGTGGTAGTTAATGAGTTCTGCTGGACTTCTGTGAGACCTTCCTCCTGCAATGGCATAAGAGCCATTCATTTCCCCCTCAATGGTGTAATGATAAACCTTGCCATCATAAACCAGGGATAAGGCATAGCCTCCCAGAAAGTGCCGGCTCTTTCGCAGTAGGTACAATCCATTGCTCAGCCCTCCTTGCATGAGGTGATCTTCAGCCTCTTCCCGTGTGATGTTGCCAAAGAAATAGGGAAGGTGACTGTTAGAATTAGCATTACTACTGGCCATTTTTTTCTTAAAATCCTGTTGCAATTAATGTGTACCTGGAAGGCAAAAAGAAATAGAAGTCTGAGGAGAAACAATTTCACAAGGTAAAAGAAAAGTAGTTAAATTTAATACAGTTAGCATATACACACACAAACATTATATATTTTTATTTTAAGCTACTTTGAGGTCTTTGTGAGGGCTCATAAGGTGGGATATACCACTTAATAAGAATTTCATATGTTACCAAAGAAGTATGGTACTGAATTACAGAAAGCAGCATTTTTGTGACTACCATAATACTGTGGCAATATATGAACTGAACCCCAGAGTTACACCTTTCTAAGCCTCTGAAAACACAAAAGCAATTCGGCTCTGGCAGTCTAAGGGTGAAATTACTGGAAATTACTGATGGTGGAATTCAAGGACTAGAATTCCAGATATGTAATTGTACCCAAAAACAACTACAGAAGGGGCAGTCTAATCAGATTTGCAGATCTCAGAAGGGGAGGTTGACTTTCCTCATTGCACAAGATGGAAATGGTTATATTTAACCTTTTAGGGATATGTTTAAACTGAGGTAGAGGGGAAAATACAAGTAACCATATTGTGATCAGCTATTTTCCCATCACTGGGCTTTAAGCAGCTGGGGCAGTATGTATTTGGAATTGGTATTTTCAGTGATGGAAATGGTGAGGAGGCATACAACCCCATTCTTAACATTGTGGCCCCATTTCATGTCACATTTTAAGATGTAGGCACTTAGCAAACCGCCCAACACATCACTGTGACTTATTTGTGAAAAATGTTGCTCGTAAAAATCACATTTGATCTGACAGATGCCATTTTGAAGGCACTTACAATTACATGATGTTATTTAAAAAAACCCTGCTCGATCCAATTTATTTTGATGAATTTCAGATATTGCAGTCTGGAGATGTGGACAGAATATTTGGAGAGATGGAGCCTCCAGTTGTTTGCTTGACATTTGCCCTTCTTGGTTGATGATATCCAACAGGGGAGGAAAGACCAATTCAGTTAACATACAGTTAAAACTTCACTAAGAGGGACACTGTAAAGAAGGTGGTCATGAGATTATTCCTTAAGAAACTCTCATTAACCAAGATTCTAATTTATTTATTTATTTACTTATTAATTTCAATTTATATCCCGCCTTGCCGGTGCAGCACTGGCTCAAAGTGGCTTACAGAGTTAAAATGCAATAAAACCAATAAATACAGTAAAAATTCACAATTAAAAGACAATTACATAAGGTGCTAATATATATAGATGGCGGCAATATACAGATATCTATACATGGTCCAATAAGAAAAGGCCATGTCCAGCGTAGTAATATAGGGCTGTGGCCTGTTCAGTTTACAATGGTTCTTTTGCTCAATCTACGATGGTTCATTCATCAGTGGTGGCTCCTAATCAAATGCCTGGTGGAAGAGCTCCGTTTTACAGGCTCTGCGGAACTGTAGAAGGTTCTGCAGGGCCTTAATGTCCTCTGGGAGCTCATTCCACCAGTGTGGAGCCGCCACTGAAAATGCCCTAGCTTTTGTAGTGGCCAGTCTGGCATCTTTCGGGCCAGGGACAGTCAGGCGATGTTGAGTCCCGACCTCAGAGCTCTCTGGGGCACATATGGGGAAAGGCGGTCCCTCAGGTAGGCACCCCCGACCATATAGGGTTTAAAGGTCAAAACCAGCACCTTGAAACAAATCCGGTATGCTATTGGCAGCCAGTGCAATGCCTTCAGCACAGGCTGGATGTGATCTCGTATGGAGAGACCCATCAACATCCTGGCTGCCACATTTTGCACCAGCTGCAGCTTCCAAATTTGGGACAAGGGCAGCCCCATGTAGAGAGCGTTGTAGTAGTCTAACCTCAAGGTGACCACAGCCTGGATCACTGTTGCCAGGCCGTTGTGTTCGAGGAAGGGAACCAACTGCTTGATCAGCCGTAGATGGTAAAAGGCTGACTTGGCAGTGGCTGCTACCTGGGCCTCCATTGTTAAGGTGGCATCCAGGAGCACTCCCAAACTCCTGACCCTCGGCGCTGGCACCAATGGTGCCCCATTGAAGGTCAGTAGTGGGATCCCTACCTCCGGACCGCTCCGGCAGGCACAGGACCTCCATCTTCGTTGGATTCAATTTCAGTCCGCTCAGCCTAAGCCAGCCTGCCACATCCTGAAACGCCCGCTCCAGGTCATCTGGGGTAGAGTTGAACTGGCTGTCCAGCAACAGATATAGCTGGGTGTTGTCTGTGTATTGGTAACACCCTAGCCTGTGCCTCCAGGCAATCTGGGCAAGGGGGCGCGTGTACATGTTAAATACCATCGAGGATAACACCACCCCTTGAGGAACCCCGCAAACCAGCGGGTACCTCTGGGATGTCTGTTCCCCTACCGCCACCCTCTGTCCCCGACCTTGGAGAGACAAGCCATTGTAAGACAAAACTAGTTGCCTAATCTTCCCATCCCCTCACCACCTGTCAAGGAGGTGGTAACTAAACTTCAGAGGCTTTGGAGGAGACTGTTTTTATCCGTTTCAGTCTGGTTTCTGGAGACTGCTCCAAATGATCAAACTGACAATATGGTGATGATATCTAGCTCTGCTTCTCCTTTTCATCTGGAGATATGGCAGAACAGCAAAATGATGTCTCAAGGTTAAGAGCATGTTTCAATAGTTTCGGGAAGTAAGCTCATTCTGATCCAGACAAAATCACACTTTCCTCAAAAAGAGAATCTTCATCTATGGGAGATGCTGCTAGATACAGCCCCAGATAGAATCATTTGATCCTATCCGTCCCCAAGGAACTCCAGGCATGAGTCTCCATTTTATCTTCATAGCAGCAAAGTGAAGCAGGTTAAGTTGAGAGTCACTGGCCCAGGGACACCAAGCAAACTTCCAGGTGGTGTAAGATTTGCATCAGGACTTTCAGATCCTTGTTCAACATTTCAGTTCAACCACACTGGGATAATACCTATATTTTTTCAGCACTAAGTTAAAACTTCTACTGTTCAAAGCTTTTAAATTATTGTCTTAATTGCTGCTTCTGTATTTTTAAATTAATAAGACCACAATCTTAAGGACACTTTCCTGGGACCAAACCCCATTAAATAAAACAGGACTTACTTTTATGTAAACATGTTTAGGATTGCTCCATAGGTCAGTGTGGTACTGTAGTTAGAGTGCTGGACTAAGTTCTGGGAACCCAAGATTTGAAACGTTAGTCTGCCATGGAAATTAAATCCATCTAAGATGGAGGTCCTTTTCCTGAATTGGGGGGGGGGTGCAGGCTAGACTTGGGAATTCTGCTCCCAACCCTTAATGGGGTACGGTCAGTGCCAACACCAAGGGTGAGGAGTTTAAAAGTGATACTGGATGCCTCATTAACTATGGAGGCCCAGGTCAACAATGCTGCCAAATCAGCCTTTTAACATCTTCAACTGGTTTGGCAACTTGTTTTGTTAGATCGCGCTAACAAAGGACTCGTAGAGTGATTCAGCAAGTGATTCAGCTTTATTGAAGTAACGAACAAGCACTCAAACGCATTAGAAACCAGAACAAGAAACTGTGGGAGCTATGCTCCTTTTAAACATAACCGGGCTAATGTAGCCACGCCTATTTACAAATAACAACCAATGAGATTGCTTAGTTAAGGACCAATGGGAGTCTTTCCCTCCCAGGGAATAATACTGTTCTGATTGGTCGCTGTTACAAAGCGACCAATAGGAAGTTCAGTCAGAGGAGCCCTAGCTTGGCTCGAAGCTTAACATGGGAGTCTAATGAGGTGATTCATGTGAGGATTCCAATACATTACAATTCCTCCCCCCTAAGTTAAGACAACACCATCGTTTAAAATATTTACAGTTGATCGATAATGCATACATTAGTCAATACCAAATACTTTATTGCAGTCATAATCAGTCAAGTACGATGGCGCTCGCCGCTCACGCTGAGACCTGCGAAGCGGTGCAGGCGCTATGGGCACACAAGGTTGTGAGCCAGTGTGGGGTTCAATACAGCCTGGTTCAGGCACCAACTCTACTGGGGTTTCAGCCCCGCACACAGGGGTCTGCCCTGACTCGGGGACAGTACCGGGCAGTTCGGTACTCACCGCCTGCTCTGGGGGTGTCCACTCGACATCAGGGGATTCAGCCGTCGGAGAGTCAGCGCTGTCCCTAGCCCAACGTCTCCTTAACTGATCTATGTGGCGCCGCCATATTCGACCGTCAGCTAACTGCACCACATACATTCGAGTACCCACAGAGTCGGATATAACCCCAGGAAGCCATAAGTGCCCGTTTGCATAATTTCGTGCGAAAACCTTGTCCCCTTTTTCAAACATGCGCACCTTCGGTTGCGCCGTGGTACGCTCGGATTGCTCTTCAGTGAGGTCTGGGTGCATTCGGTTCAAACGGGTCGTGAGTCTCCGCCCCATTAACAATTCGGCCGGACTACGGCCTGTAGCACTACAGGGGGTGGTGTGCTGCAGCAAAAGAAAGGAGCCCAGCCTCTGGCTCCAGTCCCCTTCGTCCATTTTACCCAGGGCCTCTTTGGCCGTCCTGACCATCCGTTCGGCTTGGCCATTAGATGCCGGATGGAAAGGGGCCGAAGTCATTTGGCGTATGCCATTACTCGTGAGGAAGAGCCTAAATTCCTCAGACACAAATTGAGGCCCGTTGTCACTGACGATGACGTCAGGCAACCCGTGGGTGGCAAAAAGTCGGCGGAGCGCATGGATCACAGCAAGTGATGTGGTCGATTTCATATGCACGACCTCCAGCCATTTGGACATAGCGTCCACCACAATTAGGAACATTTGCCCTTGGAGAGGGCCAGCAAAATCTATATGCAATCTGGCCCAGGGTTTACCAGATGACTCCCAGCCTTGGGGTGTAGCTTGTGGGGGATCGGGTCTGACTTGCTGGCATTTGGGACACCCTCGTACCCATTCTTCGATCTCTTTGTCCAGCCCCGGCCACCAGACATACCCTCTGGCCAACGCTTTGGTGTGTACCATACCGGGGTGACCCTCGTGCAGCGACTCTAAC